GACCAGTATCGGAACAGCACTGTGCAGTAGCGTCAGGAGTTTGTAATTGAGGGGGGACTCAGTGTGGTGGCAATGGGAACACATGCAATAGTCACATCATGAAAGGTTAAATAACTTTAAAATAATAAAGATTTCTCTATTTAAAATAAGACTAATACTGTTTAGGGTGCAGTTCCACAACTAAGAATAAAAAATAACTGATGCATATGATAAATGATTTTGTCTGATATAGAACTACAATCTTCGTTAAGTATATGTTTTATCCTCACGCTCTGCAAGCGCAGCAAATTGGCTGCAGTAACGTGTAGATTCCTAATGAAAGATAGGGAATGCGCTTTTAATTTGTCTTATCCATTTCTTCTGCATCATGATAGGAATGCATTACATAGCAAAAAGGAAGGGGGAGATCAAAAAGGCATAGGTGGTGTAGTGGGACTTTGGCAATTTAACGTAGCCTACAACACTCAACAGACTGATGCCAACTAAAATTGGAAATATTACAAATGTATTTCATTACTCAAAGCATTGCCATCCAGCAGAACATACAGAATACAAACACTTAGACATCAGCAATTCCTATTGTAACTTTCAGTCCTGCCCCATATTAGTTCAAAACGGGACACGTTTTATTTTTCAATATAAAGTGACTGGTAAAATCTGCCCCTGTAATGAGCAGCGAGGCAGTCACAAAAAAAACGGCAATAAACTGTACTATTGGCGTATTACTGATTCATTAAAATTAGACATCAGTTTGCAGTACATTCAATTTGTCATCTTTTTCATGGTCTGTTTATGGGGAATAAAGAAATAATGATTATATCATGATAATTATCAGTACCAACCGATATAAAGAAATTTCATTGCATTTAAATTAAATACTGCTGCTGTGCTTTGCCTCTTGAATGCGATTATTAGTCAATGTTTAGTAAGAAGGAGCAAAGGCTACAAAATTGGCTTCACCTCTGTATCTTATTCCACAGCTTCTCATCTGATAAGTTGTCCCTAAAGCTGTTAACTTCAATATAAGGTTTTTATGCCGCACACACCAAAAATGGTCAGTTCATGTAATTAAAATGAACAAACCAGTGAGTGCATCATGTGGTATCAATTTCATTTGAAGTTTTTCATCATGTACTGTTTGTCTGTTCTCCTTTTCAAAACATAAAATGCTTTCTTTGTTTGGCACTGTTCTTCAGACTTAATCTTGACCAGGCCACATAAACCTACACTAGAACGGACCTGCGAGAACAATAAGAACTAATCCTGCCTCTATTTGAATTCTCTTATGCTGTTAAGGCTGAAATACTGAAATATGCTGCTGCTGAAGCTTTTACAGTGTTCAAGGGGGAGATCACACCAAAACTGAAAAAGATGTGTTGTAGAGGGGGTTTAGTAGGGCTTGGCAATTAATCGAAAAATATCAAAACTGACATCCAGAACCTCTAATCGATATAATATTGCCCATGTCGTTACTTCGTTTTTTTGTTTTGTTTCTAATTCTGTTAATACTTAAAAAATAATACTTTCTCTAGTCTGTGTTCATGTACTGTCCCCTTAAAAACCGCATGAGTCACGTGACTCCACCCTGTCCAGTCTGCGACTTAGAAGCAACATGGAGAACTCAAACACTCACCCAAAATGAGCAACTACAGCACCTTGTACCAAAGACAAACGCCATGTCCGTCGTTTGGACACATTATAGCTTTAGTGAAGACGACATCGAACAAAACAAGTCAAATAAAACACTGCGAAAAAACAGTTTGTTTCAATTGGTTTCAGCACTAGCAATGTTTAAAATACAGTGGAAACCGCTAGTGATCACGGTTATAGTGATCAACTACTTATATGGATGAAAAAGCTTGGGACAGTATCATTCCTGTACAAATGCAGCTTAAATAATTCGCTTATAGTAATCACGTTGTCAGCTTAGTGTTAATTTTGGATCTTTTTATACATAAAATGTGGCAAAAATAAAATTATGATAATTTTTTTACTTGCCCACTTTGCCGTGCGGTAATCCCTCTGCTTCTGACTAGCTACCCGAGGCTAATTCTACGTGCACATAAAATATGACGGGAAAAACAAATCATTTTCTCTCAATTACAAATATAGACTCTTCAAAGTTTGATAAACTTGCGAAAAACGAGCCAACGAGATGCAGTGGCGAAACTACAATCAGCTATATTTTATGTACTGTAAAGTATTTGAATTATACACAGTTCAGTCATTTAATGTGTGCAGTACTGTCATTTGAAAAGCCGAAGGTAATCTGGTAATCTCTCTGAGACATAAAGAAAATTACAAAAATACAATTGTTGTGTGGAGTTTGGTAGAAGAAAATAGTAATAGGAAGATAAGGAAATGGTTCATTGTCTGGTTTTTCAAATGCAATATGTGACACTGAAACAAAAGAAAGTGACAAAGTCTGGAGGCTTAATTTATATATTTCTGGCTTGGTACAAAAAAACTGCAGAGGAGAAAGTATGGATTAAATATTTAGATGTATTCACAGGTAAGTATAGGTGCAAATCGCATGCTTATTATTAATTTATTATATATTGTTGGTATGTTATTTTCGTCATGTAATGGTAACGTTAAGCAATTACATTTCTATATACTGTAATGTAAACATTACAGTCAAGGGCATAGCTGGGATGAGCATTGGGGGGGTTGAGGTCTCCACCCATTTAAGGGGTCCTGGGGGTGGTATTGGCTGGTTTTGATAATTGGAGGTGTTACAGTACATCCCCCTATAAGTTACACCCTTGGTTACAGTGTTGTGTTTGTCGTTATTAAAACTAATTTGGTTTGAGCACAAAAGTAAATGTTTTAAAGGTAAATTGTTGATTGATTTATTTCATCCCTGGATGTGCTGCTCTCATCTGGCTGTGAGGAGTGTCTGAGGAGATGTTTCTTTTTGTTTCCTCTCTTGAAGTCCATGATGCTGACAGACTGCTGTGTCTTACATTCGCTGTAATCATTTTCAAATCCATAAAGTTACTTGTAATCAGGTTAGGTTTCATCAGTTGTCGCAATGATAAACAGAATGAGGATCATGAGATACAATAGTTTTAGCATGCTAACAAAAATTAAGCTGATGTTCACCAACTAACGAAGATCATCACTTTTATACACGCATCCCCTTGCTTTACATACATTCACTTTACGTCACTTCACTTTTACAAAAGACCTACATTAGCCCCTGTATTCATTAACCAAAAGAAATCTGAAGAGGATTTTTGCTTTTACAAAAAAAGGAGAAATTGTAAAAATAGCATTTAATATATATATCAGTGAGCCGGTAATACATATTGTCATATGCCACTTAAGGACATTTCAGTCAACGACCAACAGCATATATACAATGGTAGTCCCATAAGATTATAATGGAGCTGAAAAATTCCTGTCACCTAGCAATATTGTAGCTGTCATAACATCATAGCGTAATGCATTATGCACTTGTTTGTATTGATGCTGGTGTAAACAAACCTACTATATTGCAAGTCATAAGAGTATAGCACATACAATTATGTATGGTACATAATATTTGATAATAGTAATAACTGTTACTGGTTCATGCTTTGAATGGTTGAATGGTTTGAATGGTTGAACTGGTTCTTTTTTTGTCATTTAACGATACCCTATAGCCTAGGTGTGTAGGAGGCTATTCCATCTAGGTTTGTGTAACACATCTCACAACGGTGAAATCACCTAACCATGCATTTCTCGGAATGTATCCCTGTTCTTAAGCAACACATGACTATATTGATTCTGCTAAGTAAAAAAACACTAAATACATTATTTCTACATTTATATAGGCTGTGTATTTAAATACTAGTCTTACTTTTACCCCATGTTAGTATTATTTTAGGTTTTGTGTGCTATTTGGTATGATTTGGTTGGTTATTTTTTAGGGCTGGAAATGCTCAAATATTTTCCCATATAATTTAATTGTAACTACGCCATTTCGGCTTCTGAAAGCTTTCACAGAAACACTCTGCTTTTGGACAGCGGGGAGAAGCTGCATACAGAACTGAACATCTAGAAGCAGAGCTTTTTTAAGCATTATTCTTACCATTTATAAAGTGATCTCTGCAAACTCTGGCACTGTTGGTTCTCCTCAGTATGATCCAGTCTTGAGATGCTTTATAACCATTCTTGGTGGCGCTCACTAGATAAAACTCCATCTCTCTTCTCTGGATTTTCACACAGAACGTCTGGTGATTGTTCTTTTTTTTTTTTCTTTTAATAGTTTTGGGGATCCTAAATGATCCCTTACCTTTGTCACAAACACTGCTGTTACCGGCAACAACAGCATACATGGCCATGACAAACACAGTAAAACACACATGGAGTACATAATATGTATCACACCAGACTATGTACCAATATGGTAGATGATGGACTTTGCTTGCTGTGGATGGTGCTGTGTGATGTGACGTGCAACCCTCCTATATCAAAAACTGAACTTAAAATACTTGACAGACTGGCTACCTGCAGGACAAGAGTGTATGCTGCAGCTGGGATGGGATAGCCAAGAAAAAAATTGCTTAAAAATTTTAAGACCAATGTGAAATATTGATGATGGTCACTTGAGTCAGTTGAATTCAATATCGCTATTTCACTCAGGAAGAGACAGCAGTACAGTATATGCACTGCTATACTGAAGATAATGAGAGCCTTTCTTCATAAAGCTTTGGGTGTTTACATGTCTTCACAAAAATATAATTTAATAGACTCAAAAACAGAGATGGTGTTTTGAATGTGCTCTTTGTACAGCCTGAGCACCACTCCCTAAGACCTAAACCAGGGGTGGCCAATCTTTTGCACAAAGGGTCGGTGTGTATACAGGTTTTCGCTGCAACTCCCTAATTAGGTCACTAATTAGAGGACTGATTGGCTGAAGAGTCCTCATACCTGGGTTTAAACAGCTGACCTAAAGGTTACACCAAAAACCTGCATACACACCGGCCCTTTGCGGATAAGATTCCCTGCCCCTGACCCAATCTCTACACAGGGACTGGTAAGACTGCCCCAGTGTACTATGTACAAACTTGCGTGTGGTCACGTCACTTCAAATGGGGGTCTGTCTCTTAGAACAAGTTAAGCAAAAACAAACAAGATTTTTTATCAGAAGGTGTCACTGTACCAGGATGATTAAAAGGACAACTGAGTAGGGGTGGACTATGATCCAAGTACAGACAGTCCAGAGGGGGGTGTTAAGAGAGGTCAGCCAAGAAGATGACTGATTAACTAAGTAGTACTTCAAGAAAACAAGACAGGCTGAATAGGGTTCCTCCTTAATCGTTTTCATAATGTTATGTACTGGACTAGATTGATCTTGAGTGTTTTCAGTGAAGTGTTAACTGCTGTTTAGCAATTTAAGGTTACTGCTTTGCTCGTTTATGTGAGTGTAGTTGCTTTGGAATACTCTTCCCTAGCTATGAGGACTTGTGAGAGTTTTGGGTTACAGATTTGAATGTCTCAAAGCAGTACCTGGTCAAGGCTTCAGCTATTTAGACTGATTTCTGGTCTATTGTTAAATCTGATATATTTGGCTATTTAGCAGCAGTTAACAGTAGGTAGCCTGCTTCTGTGGATTATTTGGGGTATGGGATGAGGCAGAGAAAACATAGTTGTGGTAATGCTAGTCAGCTGGGGACTGGTCTAAAGAAAAACACTGACGTGGAATGTGAACAGGAGGCTCGTTCCAAGTGACTACCTTGGGATTTTGGATATCCGGTGCAGCTCCATGTCATCGCTCCCCCGGAAGCCCTTAGCGAAGGGGTTGTTTTCAATCTTCAGCTGGGTGATCTGGAAGATGATCAGCATGGTTGTACTGAGTTGTGTGTTGTTGAACCACATTCATACCCATACAGTAGTTAACTGACAACTTTCCCTTCCAAGTTAATGGCCTCCTAATCTTTAGAAAGGAGCCTACTCTAGAGGGGAGGCAGACATTAGTGTTTTGTGTATATTGATTTTCATTTAAATTACAGTAAACGAATCAAATTGTTTTTCTTAAGTTGTAGGTTGTTTTTCGAAATCAAATTTATCACCATCCTGTTTTCTGCTTCAATGTCAAATCTGCGCATTTCAAAGCTTGCACGGTATGATCGATGTCAAACAAGATCACGGCTAGTTAAGTGCTGAAGCAAACAGTGATGTGTTCCGTGTAGCGGCAATTCTTTACCAAAAGCCAACTCTAACATCAAGAAGTGTGCAGACCGCCGATGAGCACAGGGAGCACTTTAATGAACCGGCTTACCCGGGCTGAAGCCCAAGGGACTCCGCTATAAAGCGGCGTCAATCAAAGTTTAATAAAATTTCAGACCTAGAGTTGCCACCCGTCCCGTATTTACGGGATTATCCCTTATTGAAAAACAAAATGCTGTGTCCGGTGGCCTGTACTACGAAGTGGGGTTACTGGTTTATCGGGGTAACTTGTCGGATTTAAGGTACCACAGTTTAAATAGACTTCATATTCGTTCACTTACATTTTGCCCAGACTACCTTAAATCCGACAAGTTACCCCGATAAGCCAGTAACCCCGCTTCGTAGTACAGGCCACTGTTTTGAACAAACACGGGACGCGATCTGTACCGTATTTGTGTCCTTACTGAAATACAATTTAATCCGAACCTCGCGACCCCTCTCTCCTAACATTCTTATCATCCCCTAAGGAGATGAAGCGATGACGATGGTATACAACTGTATAATAATTATTTCATCAAGTCCTTTAAATTTACCATAAGAAACTGGAGAAAGCTTATTTTATTCTTGTCTATTCTATGTGAAAATATATTTAGCTTTTATTGAATGAAGTAACTGCACAGTTTCTTCAAAGATGATCATTTGTTTTTTGGAAGTTTATAGCTTTTTGATAGTTTTTCCTAACGTTGTCAATTTGTACATTTGTTTAAAAAGCGAAAATTATACCAGTTTAATGCTTCACATTTAATAAAGGGTTTCCGTTTAAAACTTTCTTAGATATTATTTTTGCGGTCGAGTTTAATAGGTGGACCAGTATTTTTACAGTATTCAAGATAATCCGTAAATATGTCCTCTCAACAAATGTATTCACACCTATTGCCTATGTGTGCCAACTATCAACTTACTGTTTCTCCGGCGATGTAAACGCGCGCATGTCTGTAAATTGTTCCGTTTCATCTCAGGGAGCATAAGGAGGGGGTAAATAACTATAAATGCAGTCGTTTACTAAAGAGCTAATGACTTGGGCTAGATTTTGTAGAAATTAAGATTTTGTAGGCTTTCCTACATGTGTACGTATGTAACTTATCTTGTACTCAATTTCGATAAAGCACAACCATGAAAATGCATCGAATTTAATCTCGAGTCGCATGTAGCTTACCCGAAACACCACTACATATTTACAGTAATGAAAATATTTTACTTTTCTTAATAAGGCTTCACTCACGGTGACAAAATACGCTACTGCCACCTTCCCCCTTCCCGTTTGGTAAGTTTTGCATTGTTCCTCCAAGAGAATCTGCGTGAGAACAATGCTAAAAAAGTTTTAACTGCACCTTTGTAATGTGAACTAATTTATACTCTTAACTAATTCATAAAACCGTAGCTTAAATGGTTTTATAGGAGTATTACTAGGTGAACGTTACCAAAAAGCTTTTTCGTTACATAGTCAACTGTTTAACAAGTTGCGCTCTACAAAACCTTTTTTTGTTTATTGCCATTTTAGAATGTTCCATACCGTTGTAACCCTAAATAACTCTTGGCATTCAAAGCACAGGCATTTATAATGTAAAACACTATGTGGTTATGTTGTGCTGGTATTGATTAAATATTCACAAGAGGAATATTTTGCTTTATGCAGAAGAATCAGTCCCATTTCCCCGGTTCTGGTCGTAAAAGTTAAAGGCAATATTAATTGGCCAAACATGTTTCAAGGACCCTTCTGTTAAAGAACGGGTGTAATTAACGTTTTCTGGGATAGCAGCTATTAAAATTTCCTGCACAGGAAGACGCAGGAAGTTGTGATTGGCTGACAAGGCATTAATGATCTTAGCCCACCTCTTATTGCCCTTGTCCCAATTTACTTTGGTCATTATGAAGCTATAGCAGACAAGTATCCGAGAAAAGAGGATATATGTAGCTTTTAGCAACACCCAGCTAATTTTGGCTTAAGGCATTTCAAAATCGGCCAAATTACGTATGCTTGCAAGTCAAATGAGTGTTTGTTGCTGGGTCCTCATCTGTTTGGGAAATATTCAGTCCAATAGCATTAGTAGTAACAATTGTATGTACCTTGCGTAATTAAAATATACAAATGCCATTACATGGACAAAGTATAACAATCTAAACTTTGAAGTACCTTGAAAAAGCAAAATATAGATTGGTGCATGGACAGATAACACAAATGCACCAATACCAGAAGTTAACAACTATCAAGATTCGAGGCTTTACTGTTTCACCTCTGGTGAAATCAGATTCCACCACTAGGTCTCTACCAAGTTCGAGAAGTATTATCAGGTAAATCATTTTGGCGTGACCGCTTTAATTTTATATCATCACTGATTTTTCCACAGGTTCAATTCGGCCAGTGTTTTTAAATGAAATTCCATTTTTTTTAATTAACAACCAAAGGCATGCTTTGGTTTTAAAATATTATGGACGAAGATCTTAGACTTTACCGGCTGTTCTAGTGACGTTTTCATGGGTCTTAGGTGGACCCATTCAGTACCACTACTAATGGGATTATCAGTAATTAATTATGGTTTCACAATATCTGCAGTACTTTATGAATTCCAGATTCAGTAGTGATAAATTCCAGTCAGATGCACAAATATGTCTGAGCATGGCCGGGCGAATTAAGCTATTGCTACGAGTCCTCTTTTGGTGTATTCCATTTAAAGTTTATCGAAATACCAAAAAAGATTCAGGCAAATGGAATGTAATTTCTTTCCTTAAGTAGCTATTAGATTTAAATGATGCAGCAATCAAAAGATGAAAACTATTTGTTACATATTTTCACAGACTTTTTGGAATGCAAAGGCATAGAATGCGACCCGAATGCAGTTTTGCCTAAAGTTAATCGTCGGTTTTGAAATTTACCTTTTGTTCGATTTTTCATTTAAATTAACAACTGCATTAATTCAAAATACCGTACATCGCAATGCTTATAGACGTTTCGATTATAAACACCGATATTAAATCTAAGAGAAAAAAAATCAGGCAGTATGTTTACTTATCTGCCTCATGAAACAATATTTAATCGAATAGGCAATACAATAACTGAACCTTGCTGAGGTATTTCGGAAGGTACTTAAATTGCCATTTTAACTATAATTTAGGTCTAGAACATGTCTTAATCGGACTCTGCCTTTGATAAAATTTCAAAAATCTTTCTCTTTACTGCACACCTTTAAAGAGTTGTCTGTAGTATCGTCAAATGCGGTCACTGAAATCGGAATGATCAATAAACAATTGTTAGCATTTTGCTTTTACTTAAATAGTGTATAAACGCTTTTTGAATTATGAAAGATTATACATGTCATAACTAAACCATGAGAGAAAATGGCTAAATAAATTAATTCATATAATAAGACAGTTGTATTTTTTTAACTAGAGTGGAAAAGCTGCTGTTTGAAAATGGATGCTATTTAGTTGTAAGGTGGTGTGACTGTATTCGACTCCACAAAAAAAAAAAAATAATGATATACTGTAACATAATATAACTAAACATAGGCGAGGCTAGACTTTTCTTTCAAGGGGTGCAAGGTGAGAGAAGTCAACCAGTGATTAATCCAGATAAACTGGTTAGAAAAAAGTACATGTATAATATATTATTAGTACATATTGATGCAACTAACACAAGCTATATTAAACACACTCAGTGTGATCAAATAGCAATAAGGGCGCAATTAAACCCCCAGTAAAATTGTCAATGTGACTAAATATGCAATTGCGCCATGGTGGCTTATTGACGCCAATATGATCATTATTTATTTTAACACATGCTCTTTCTGTTAAAAAATATTAATATGTATAGATCTAGTACTGTTTTAGCTGGTTGTCCTTATCAGTGAATAGAAACAAAACATTTACAAGTAGGGGAATATTAGTAATGTTAAATATGATGTACATTAAACTCTGGTTTAAATTTGTCAGTTATGTAATTTGAAGGATGTTTTACTGAACAACTGTGTTGTACAAGTACAGGTACACAATTCTTTAGCTTTCATGTATTCCATTATGCACATATAGAGTTGAGAGGGGACCTTGGGTACAGACTGTATGGTTAGCCAGTTTTCTGGCACTGCTGGCGGGTTGTTTTTGGAATAAAGGCCCAACAGTAATGGCAGCTACTCTGCAGACCAAGGAATTTTTGAATTTAGAGTTTTTTTAAAAATCATCCATTTTCTGGTGTGGGGTATCAGTGTGCCGAATGTCTTCCCCCAAAATTCTTAAACAGCAGGCACTGGGTGTCTAGAAATAGCTGACACCATCCAGGGTCCCCGCAAGGACCCTCTAACATTCCAGGGGATTTCTGGCCCATCGTGGGACGTCACCCTACACGCCACTTTGCTGCCTCTTCACTGAAACACGCAGCGGGTTTTAGGCTATGCTGTAATGTGACTTAGAACCGACCAGGGGGTGAGCAACAAACGGGGCGAAGGACGTGTTTGGGGTAATGGCCAAATCATCAAATGTCTTTTAGGAATAGGAGGGTATGATAATGCAATATAGGACAAAGGAGTGAAAATGCTCCATTTTGGGGGGGGGGGGGCATTTAGGATTTATCTCTCTTGTTCTTTTTTTAACCATGTAATATGAAGCTTTGCATCTGTTACTCAGTTCGGCAGCTTCCTGATGTTATATTCATTGTACATTAGCTGGCAAAGGGTTTTTGGCAAGCGTCTTTTTTCCTTCAGTAATGTAAAATTTAGCCTCAAACTTAATATTATGACACGATACCAATGTAATTTTCAGTGCTGTTCAATAGAGTTTAAGTCAAGTAGGAAAATCAGGGCTGCACTGTTCACAGCATAAGAGTGTGATTTTTGGATGAATGTTAAGCAATATGAAATACAGCCTAATGAATATGACCTTAAAACTTCAAACATTTAAGAGACATGCTCTTACCTTATGATTCTGGTATGATGTGACAGCAATGAACGATGTCTCGGGAAACACGTGTGTACAGAAGGCTGTGTTTTTGGAGCCAAATCCATTATTTTCATCTGCTTTCACAATGTGTATTCTCGGCTGGTATTTGTGCATGGAATTTAAGATAATCTGTTTAAAAAAAAAACATTCACATTAGGAGAATCTGGATTCCATTGGCATTCTGTCCAGAGTAAACATTATTTAACACAAAGTGGAGCTATAATTTCTTTAAGATTACCATGAACACTGGGTATATGACTGGTACTTAAAGCTGACCATTTTTAAAACTTAACAGGGAACTCCATCCACCATATTCACACTTTTCTCCCCCCAACAAAAATCTCACTTGCATGAATTAGAATCAATTCTGGCTCATCTTTCATATGTGTTCTTCACATGTACAGTAGCAGATGGCCAGGCAGCTTAGTCTCGACATCTTTGGTTTTCCACTCTTGCACTGACATACTTTATGCTGTCAGCTGAACCGATTTGAAAACATGTTCTCAATGGTGCATTAACTTGGTTTCACAATTTTCTCTCACTCAAGATTTCTCTCACTTTAGTGCACTAAAACCCTGGATCTATAAATTAAATGATCAGTTAGCAGCCTGCAGTTAACAAACAATAAATATTCATAAGTCAGTTGCTGTGTACAGTATCATTCCAGGTAAGGAAGATTTTCTTTTCGTAATTGGGCATCTTGCCCACCCCCAGTACCACATATACATTGTTATGTGTAGCTTTAAATCAGCTGAAGATTCAAATTTTCAGGTCCCCTTACACCTTTGAAGATCCACAATAAAGTTCAGTCAGACTGGTAGGCTCTGCTGTACACTGGCATACATTTTATCCAGGACAATTAATTTAGATGGGAGTTCCATTACACCACGTTCTGATGGCATGCTTTATGTGGGAGGGAGAGCTCAGTGAGGTAACAGTATCTAAATTTGGTGTACTGGAGTCCATACATGAAGACTCTTAGCAGGACGTTGAAGGGGACTGCCAGCTGAATGCAAAATTCTGTCAATTTTCAGTGTTTTTTTTTCTTTCCCCATTTTTTAATCTTTAAACAAGAATGAGAATAAATGACCCGATGATTGCACAATTTTCCTGTGATTACCTGTGATTTTCCTGTGATCTGTTTCAAAGAGTCCATAAGTGAAACAGATTTGCTTAAATCCATTTCTTACTGTACTTATTCTTGTAAAACTTAATCTGTTCGAAAAGCAGTATAACCTGGGTCTATTTTGTCAATTTCATTCATGCTGTAAATGCTATGCTTGATCTACAGGTGTTAGGGCTGGACAATTAATCGAATTTCAATTACGATTTTGGCTTCCAACGATTATCAAAAGAAAATAATCGTGACAAAACGTTTATTGTGCCACATTTTGTTTCACAATGGTACTCCCATTTTGTCTTGTGTTATAAATCCAGTGCATCCCTTTCCAGCCCCTTTTCATTTCTTTCTCAGTTGAATTATATTGTGATTTCAAGGAAATTCATTGGAAATCTAAGGATAAATGGATGGTATTTCCAAAGCCAATGAGTAATCATGTTAAAGAACCATGATCTCAACATTGACCAAAATAATCATGTTTATGATTTTTGCCATATTTGAGCATCCCTAACAGGTGTGTGTATGTGTGGGTATGTGTGCGTGTGCGCGTGTTTTTCTAGATTTCACTTGGGTTAATTTGGGGCTGTCCTTTTTTGTATACGTGCCATTTGAAGTGTTCTGTTTTGAAGACGGTTTCTTACTTTCTTTAATCCTTCAAACATAATGATTGGTCCACATGTGTCTTTGTGCGTGTGTGTTTCCATATTCCAGATGACCTGTTTTATACTAAAGATGAATACTTTTTAAACAGCTGCAGCTTGGATGTGCTGGGAGCACTGAAGCCTGTTGTGCTGCTTTGTGTGAAAGACATTTCAACACATTCCCAGGACTGTGCAATGTGGTGGGGATTATATTCCCTCAGGTGCAGTCCAATGTGCTTTAACAATCATAGTGAGACAGTGGTGTACTTTATATATGTTCCTCATCCAAAGCAGTACAAAATCAGCCAAGGCCTATCATTTAAATATCCAATACTCCGTCTAATTGGAAAGTGGACTACTGGGATTTAATAGATATAGTATAAGTTAAATGCTTTGTTTTGGCCTCTTGCAAAGCCAACGATCCTGCAAAGGCAGGACCGAAGTGTCGAGTTAGATGCAGGTCAATTAAATAACCCAAGAGAACAGGTTCCGCTGTCACATGCAGAACTCGTACTGTGGGTCTGGTGATAATATACATTTTCATGCATCCACTGTGAGCCCAAACAAGTTAGGAGAACTCAAAAAAATTAAGGCAATCAGTTGCCGTAATATTTTTAAGCTTTGAAATCATAACGCATACGTTTGTAAAACTCAAATTAGTGGTACATATATATTTTGAGAGCATTCTACTTAAATTTTCTAAGAAGCCTACGCAAATTTTCATTTAAAGTAACTTATTAACCTTAATCATTGCATTTAAGACAACTTGTGAATAGTTCAGTATTTTAACTTAGCATTTACTTTTGCAAACACTTAATTTGTATGAGTATCATACTTAAATGGAAATATAGTGAAATTAAACCAATGATGCAAGTACAACTAAAATTTATATTTATGGAACAAGCTAATGCAATCAAAATATATATGTACCATTAACTGAACATTGGCATTATGATTTGGAATTATGATTTTTAAACTTTAAAATATTAAGGCAACGGATTGCCTTAACTTTTTGAGTTCATCTAACTTGTTTGGGTTTACAGTGTTTTATAGAAGGGGTAAAGTTCAAAGGACACACATCACCAGTATCCTAAATGTATTAAACATCCTGCAAGACACATTTTAATCAGATCTTACTCTGTATGTATAAATTAGTAATAAGTAACTGATACATATACAAGTCAATCTGAATATACACAGACATGAAGGACAGGCATAACGAAAAGTATCAGTAGCCTGCTGTGTGGGAAAAGCAGTGCCTTGAGTACTGTATGCAGTAAATATTCTAAACTTACATGCCCAAAAGGGTCGAGGTGGTTGTTTGTCAGTTTCAGCTTCTGAAAAGAGACGAGTTGCCGCATCCAATGGGCACCCGCTGCTGGTGAATCTGGGTGTACGTACAGCCTCCCAGGCATGGCGGGCTCTGCCTTGCCTGTCACTGACCTGGGTCAGAATACACAGACACATGCATACGTGCCATCCTCTCACCGAACAGGCACAGTGTGGCCACCTCGCGGTCACCAGGTCTAAATATACCATGTGTATCACCTGCTGTCTTACCCTCTTCTAAGGCTTGTAGATAAATTTAACACAAACTTACATTGGGACTGTCTTCTTTTTTTTGTCTTAAGTTTTTTTAAAAAAATAAGGGTGTTAAGGGCCATTCATTGTGGACTACTTTCTAAATCATGTGAAAACCAGAAAGACCATTTTACTTAAAAAAATCTTTTAGAAAACAAACAGTAGAAGTACGGAATAAAATACGTTTAAGATTTTCACCTGAAAATAAAAGCATGCTGATTGTTTTCTTGTCTGAGGTCATTATTTTATTATAAAGCATAATAGATACCAAGAGAGGGCTGTGCTGAATGGGTAGTAGTGTGCCCAGTTAAGTTATCATGATTGTTTTACTGTAAGCATGCCAGTATGTAACTATATATCAGAAGTTATAAAATACTATGACCTTCAGCAGGAAGAGTGGTCTGAACATGAATGAATGGGTAATATATTCTCCTGTTTTCTCTTAAATGCATTGCAAATGTTCTCTGAAATTGTCAAGACAAAAAACGCCACCATTTGCAGTCATCTGTATCATTGAAGAATTTGTGGCATCTACCTTTTAATGTAATTGATATAAGTGGTTGCTTTTTGACACTCTTTACAATAGCCTACCTGTGTTGCACAATAGTGTATTCTGAAGAAAATGAGTTTGGTTTGCTCTTGGCATGATTTTCTTTTCTTATTTTACTATAACCTATTTAGTGTACTGCATGCTATTATTTAGCCTAAATGGTATAAATCAATAAAGAAGGAAATTAGAGGTAGTTGTTTTTTAAGAGAACCTGTGAATTGCAATTCAGTAAGTAGATGGAACCACTGAAATGTTCGTGATAACTTTACCCACCATTTGTTGTCAGCAAACTTGTACCGGTGGTCGTCTGCAGGTACTGCATCCATCAAGAGAATGTATTTCGTTTTGGGATTTAATCCAGTCACCTTGACTTTGTAACTTGGAAACATCCGCCTGTAAATCGGGAGATAATACCAAGGTTACCATGAACATGGACATATTGATGACAGTCTGATAAATTTCAAGGCGACGCCGTGTGGAAAGTATTTAAATAGTAGGTAAGACGTTTATGACAGGTAAAAGTTTATTGAAAATATGTGTATACGATAACATGGCCCGAATACATGTTAAAGCAATCGAAAGTTTTTTCAATTAAACAGATATCAGCCTCCTTAGAGTTCCTATAGACAATTGCATCTTCCTCTTTCGTTAGTGAAACACTTTATTTCCAGCCTGATACGTAGCTTCATCCATGATTTTGCTGGACCGTCAGAAAAAGACTTAACTTCAATCAGCTGCACTACAGAGAAGACTAAAATTGTATATTTTAAATCTACTAATAGCAAGCAATTATAGTTATTCGTATTAATTGGACTATTATAACAATTTGTAATTTTAATTTTCTTCACAGTAGTGTAAGAATATTTAATTTGATCATTAATAGTAGGACTTTTCGTTTAACATTTCGAGTGCTGCACCTTAAACGAAACGGCGATTCAAAATCAAACAGAAAAGCATTACGATTGTAGGATTCAATGGTCCAGACTGAGGCTGACCATATGGCAAAAATTTTGGGGCTTTTCTGATTTTTACATGGAGCGTTCATGTCGGTGTTGAAATATAGGATCTACTGAGATCATAGTTTAACCTAATGTAAATTAATTAGTAATCTCTGTAAAAGGATATTAGGGATAATATGACGGCGAAAGAATACAAAGTAATTTAATTTTTCAGTACAGTTAAATGTGTTCTGCGGTATTCACGACAAAAGTGTGCGTTTTAAGATATTAAAAATTACGTAATTCAATTCAGTTTCGCTTTTCCAAATCAGAATGTCTTTTAAAGTATTTGAAAACTATACTTGATTTCGTCCATTTATCAAATACGTGTGCACGTTTTAATCGAGTTGTACTCGGTCTTAGATTTCCTTGGTAACATATTTTTAATGGCGTAGTACACCAATTAAGCGATTAAATCGACAAAAAGCATTTATACACAGAATGTTGGTGCCAAATTAAACCTTGAATCTTGTATAAACCAATGGGAAATGCACGCAAGTAGGAAAATATGAGAAAGCTGCGCCTATTTTCGATACACCCTGAAGTCGCAATACCAAAACTGTTTAAATGAGCAAAAAACGTCGATGCGCCTATAAGTTAAGCCAGAAATTACCAAAAGAGAAATAATAAAAACGAGGGCTGCTTAATTATTAAAGCTTTATTACTATTTATTAGTAAGCTAAACGTCGCCGTAATACTGTTAAGATTTTCTCAGCCCAGTGAATTAAACACAATATATTTTGTTCTGTTTTAAAATGCTTTTTTTTGGCTCTGCGTTTCCTATCTGGTGTAAAGTTGGGAATACAAACATAAAAACTCTTACCTCCCAGCTTTGGTGATAATCATTTCAGTGCCAACTTCGTGAAATTTTGTCCATAGCTCTCTTTCGTGCAAGTGAACTTTAATCCCTTCCATGCCCTGTTAAAAGGCACACCTTTCAGAATTTAATGTCATTGCATGGCCTTACTACCCATTGTCCATTAGATGGTTTAAACGCTTTATCGACACCGTACTCAAAAGGAGAAGACGGACAGTAGTCTTGTATAATATTGTGATTTGTCTTTATAGTGTATGTAGAAGACCATGTAAATGTTATAACTATTCAAGAATATATTAGTTCTATTAAGATTTTATTTTGTCTCACGCTGTATTCGTAAAGGAGTGAATGTTTCTGACTTAAAGTATTCTTTGATTATTTTTTTTCAGCCAAGTATGACTGATGCTGGCTATGCAAACTTTGTTTTATAAAGCCCTTAATAATAATACTGCCTATAAGTCGCATTGCTTGTGTCATTTAGAGCATCATTAGAATAGGCCGTGTAAGTTATGCAGTAGCCTATTGTTGTATATTCTTAGTCGCGACTTAATTCAGAATTATTTTATTAGTCATGTTTTACCTTAAATTACTTGTTTCATATATATAAATATATTTATAATAATAAATAAATATAATACAACTGTAAAATGTCAATTTAGTTAGAACGATGCAGATTTAACTCAAATAAAATAAGTTATATATATATATATATTACTTATTTATTTATTTGATTTAATTAAATGACATTCGGGTAATCGCCACGGGAGCTCAGAGTTAAATTTGCATCGTTCTCCTATCTAAATTGACACTTAACAGTTGTCAAGAGCGCAATTTTGCTAACCTGTTGAATGTACGACGTCTTCGCTGACGGTGACTTGCAAGAAGTTTGTATCCGATTCTCTTGTCCACCTTCATCATTTAATTCCTTTGAATCCGAGTCACTCGGCGGACTTAGAAGCCCAAAAACCTCCTCCGCATCCGCCATCTCTGGGATGTAAGTAGACGAAGCTCCAGCTGGGTCTAAACAGTAAAACGAAGATAATAAAGTACCCGTGATTTTAAGCCTGCAAATGTAGCTGAACACACCGAGTCAATCGTTTGCCAACCTTTGTATTTAGGGAAACTGAAGTTGGTGATCTGACGCAAACTGGGTGACCAACGGGTCTAGGACACAAGCCAAGAAAGCGATTCGCTATCATAACCTTCGCTATGAAACAGTTTCATTTTGTATGCATATCGACATGGTATTATAGGTTCTAGCTTTCTCTAAACTTTTGGACTTTTTACACATTTATTTTAAGTTAAACGTCAAAATTAGTGAAGATTTTTTACTTGTTTCTGACATCACAAAGACACAGACATTACTTGCCAGTTGTTAATGACTGCTAAGGACCTTCAAGTGTCGTGCGTATTTGTCTTGCAGTTGTTAATTGAATTTCCGTTCGTTGCATTTAATGTTTAATTATGATCTTATACATGCAGCATATCGACGTATTCTCGGGGGTATATAATTGATGTTTTTAGTAGTCGGGCATGTTACAGAAAAGAACAAGAATCTGTTTAAATATACAGTCTAGTAAGGTTATATTCTATTAAGTAATGCAAATCGTGACAAAATACGAAAACCAAGTCACTTTTTGCCCAAAGTTAACCTTTTACATTGGATTATTTTAAGATAGGCCTCAATGCATCCGAAGTCTTGTTGGGGTCGCGCACATAATGTTCGACAAATAGCCTTAAGGGGCTTTCAATCTGTATGTTACAATTAATACAGTAAGCTAAATAGAGCCGGTATCTGCATGTTATCCACACTTCTGCATCTTCCAAGGAAATTTAAATTTCAAATTTTAATATAAAATTAAGTATTGATCAAGACATTCAGACGGAATACAAGAGCCAGCCACAAGGTATGCATTTACCTCAGAGAAAGCCAGACGAGTTGCTCTGCGTTGCGAATCCCTGGCGGAAGAAAATATTTGCTGTGATTTTATCAAATAAAATCTCGATCTATAAATCGATTTTTGGCCGTTTACTCTTAAATGGCGTATTCCAGAGGCACGGCCCTAAAGATCTGTCCAACAAATCCATTAAATTGTCCTTTTCTTCTGGGCACTGATTAAAAAAATCTTCTTTAATTTTATATACTGGAACAGTGGTTTGTCAAGACTACATAGACCTGAGCAGAAAGGGTAGCCTGTTCTCACAGAAAATAGCAGGTCTCTCTCCGGTTCGCTTGCTCTTTCCCTCCTTTGCTTCTCTCGTTCTTGCTCTTGTTGCTACCCAGAATCTCTTTCCTGTTGTGCCCCGCCCCCTCTATCTGCCCCCATGATTCAATTGACATACCCAATTCCACGTTATCTCTCTAACAAATGCGAGGGGACGCGCGCAGATACTGTGCGTAGTAAAAAGTACTGAGCGAGCAAAATAACATTTTGTATAGTTACACCATAAATTATACAATTTTGTATAGTTACTTTAGTCAACCCCTCATGCAGGTATACTCCTGTCTATGTTCTCTCATGCATCAAACCAGGGTGAGTATTGTTAAAACGGGAGACTTTCTGAAAATCTGCTTTCTAAAAGAATTTACAGAATCATCTCAATATCTTGAATCCCAACCCGATACCATTCTAAATATATCAATGCCAGTTGAACACTATGTAGAAGAGAAAATAAAGTATTGCTGAACACATATTCTAACTGCAAAGTTTACCTGTTCCATTTCGTCAGGTGTCCCATTTTAACAATGCTCACCCTATACTAAACGTGTATAGGATCGCAATCGGCCTTCTTTACCAAAGTAGTATATTCTACACTGAGGAGAGTAAATTATTTCAGGTTTTGGTGTAAAACATTTTACAAAAATTCCGGATGTTGGTTAACTGATATAATACCTCAACTCTAGCACGAAATATCGAAGATAAATTGAGATGAGAGCTATATAATGAATACGCGCGCAAAACCTATAAATGGCACAATGTGAACTAACGGAAGTATGTATCTCTTTTGAAGAGTCGTATACGATAAATACTAATCCCCATTTAAATTGCACAGTTAAGGCATAACTGTGTTTTTGTCGCCACGTCAATAAAATGCCATGTTTTCTGCATTTACCAGTATTCTGAAAATAGTGTACCCCAAAAAAAACGTAATTTTTAAGAGATTTATTCTAATGTATTTTAAATGCACAATCATTTACTTAGAACATCCCATTGTTCACGTTTGGAATGTACATTGGTGACCTGCCGTATAATTTGCTATATTAAAAAACATTATATCATTGTGGTGGCACATCCCTGTGGTAGGGCCTAGATTTAAATAAAATAATTTTCCCATTATTATTTTGTAATTTTATACAACTTCAGATTGAATCAATCTCTCACCATGTTTTTGTAATGCAAGACTATTATATAAGTTTAACTGTGACTATACAGTCATTAATCATTTTAAGGACCATAAGTTAGATTAATCTTGAAGGTTGGTGGGGCATCTTCCAGTGTTGCTCTTGGTTTCATGTCTGTCTACAGCCTGCATACACCTGAAGAGAGCTGTATAACTCATTTTCAAATCACGACTTTTAAGCGAACCATGGTTTTCAGAATTTTACTGTCCCTTTTGGGTAAAATTTGAGGCGCAGTAACATTTGTTAGGGTTCCCAATGCACATTTGTGAAATTGAAATTCTCAGTAAGAAAAATAACAATTTGGTCATAACAGTTTTATATTTGCCATTGGACAGTAATGTTTTTATTTTCGTTTTTATTAATATAACATTGCGCTCTTCGTTCTTGTTAATCATTTCAGCTGAGGTTGTACAAAGTTTGATTCTGTGTAATGAAAGGCGTTATTATTAGGCGCGCTGAATTCATTCGTCGGAAGAAAAAAACATTCCCATCGTTAGGCGTTTGCAAAACTGCTTGAACTGAATCTGTTTCTAATGTAACGGTTGGTGTCATACATTTCTGCTGAAAATCTGTAACCACATGAAAAGCAAGGGCAATGGGGAAAAAGGTTTTTATTTTTATTTTGTAGAGCTACATTTTCAGAAGGCAGCGAAAATCTCATTTTGAAGAGAAAATACGTTTGAAGGGGTAGGTTCGACGACTTTTAGGTTCTCTATGAGAAATAAAGCTATTTATTTTATAATTGTCGTAATATTGTAACTGCTGCAGATAGCACCACGTTCATATTTAAATTACACGTACTTTTTACTTGGTATCACATCCAATGAAATAAAAGCCAGTATAACTATTTCTAAATAAACTAATTTCACACGTTTTCCCCAAGAACTCATGCGTGTGTGTGTGTGTTTTATCATTATATTAAACTGTGTATTATGTTTATATTATATAAGTTTAACAAAAACTTATTTTGACATTGTGGGGACCATTTTTTCAGGTCCCCACAAAGATCTGTGCATGCAATCAAAAAACTAAAAATGACAAAACTCGTATTTTGGTAACTTATGGTTAAGCTTAGGGCTGGGTAGGGGTAATGGTCCTCATGTTGGGATTAGTTTTCCTCATAGAAATGAATGGAGAGTCCCCACAAAGATATAATTACAAACCTGTGTGTGTGTGTGTGTGTGTGTGTGTGTGTGTGTGTGTGTGTAAACATTTACCTGATAATCTTTTGGCACTCTACATTAACTCCAAGCAGTCTCATGTGTAAATTAATCCTTCAATTAATATCTGGTCACCAAAGCTTTGTAATGATGAAAATGTGTAATCCAGTAAAGTGAGAGCATGATTGATTCTTGGACTGGGCGAGACAACACTGAACTCATGGGCTCCACATAAATTACCTACTGAGCTGTGAGTAAGTCCCGGCGCCAGTGGGGAATCTGCATTTCCCCTCCGATAGCTGGACCACTTTGGACATTTACAAGATCAAACAGAATCTCTTTGAAGGTTGTGCTGCCTTAGCTAAGAATCAAACTATACTGTAAAAATTAAGGTGAGGAGGGGGTTCATGTATAATTATTTGCTAGATTGATGGCATTTAATACTCTTAGCCTTGGCGTCGCTATATAATTGGATACGCTGACAACTAATGAATTTTAGTAAGCAATACAGTAATGCAATATTACCTTAGCTCTTTATGACTGAAATTTAATTGGCATTTTTATTGACGTGGCGACAAAAAAATATACATACACATACCGGCGTTAGTACCTTTCACGTGTAAAGATACATTGTGCTTTTAAAAAACTGCGCGTTTAAAGACTTGATCCGTATTTTCACCTTAACGGGGTCGATCTTGGAGTCACGTCACGTTTGTATAATATAAACATGATTACTGTAAAACAACAAATTTACTATCAGAGCGATGAATAGCCAATATTTAATTTGGGTATAAACAGCACGTGTTTAAACCATATATCCTTTTCTTATGTTTGGACATTTGTTACAGACGCCAACGCAGAACCGCTTCTGTCAATCCAAAATCAATTTTAAAATTCAATTTAAAGGTTAATACCAGAAACTGTAGCAGTAGAAGCACTAGAAACAAAACTTGGACTACCTAATTCTTTCAGAATAAAAATGTGCCAGAAACTATATCTGTAATCAGCTGTAAAAAATACCATAAACACTAACAGTGTCTGCACTGTGACAAAAATGTATGAATTGCGATACATATATTGATACAAGCGAATCAGAATGTATCTTCGTACCTGTATGAATAAACAGTAAAATAGAAAAACATACAAGTCAGTTACCAGATACTCCGAAAAGAACAGCAGGGTACCCGGATACTAGTTGCAAATATATCTGAAAACGTTAGTAAACAGTTTAATTCCAACCAATATAGTAACGTTGGTCGGGTCATTTTTATAAAAATTTTACGCGATAGCTTAATTTTCCAAATTCAGTATAAATATACGTCTATGCGACTTACGATTAAGAAATTACTTGCAGTTCTCCATATAATCAGTACTTTTGCTATGTTCTTTTATAGGCCTGTGTAGTTTTTAAAAATGTACTTAGAATTGTGGCCAATTGTGGAATTAATGTAGGTTAAATGACGCTTTCCTTACCTTGACGCGATGCTTGCCATGATGAAGTGATAGGAGGATGTTGTTGTCATTAATAATAATAATTAATAATGAAGATAATGAGGGTAAGATTTAACGAAAAGGAAATTACACTAAATTTAAATAAAGTTTGAGCTAATGAAACATTTACTAAGTTAAAGCCAGTTTAGTCTTACACGTGCTCCCTTTTCTCTTTTAAATTTTATGTAAGTTTAACATACATTGATACTGGAGGACTATTATATAATAAAATATTTTATATTATATTATAAGCTTGTTGATAAACTTTATGCATTTTTTGAAATAGAGCATCATTTACTAATAGAAGTCATATAAAATACCATATGGATTATTAAAATATGTGAATACCCTCTGTTCATGAGATATATTTCTTTGTATTATATATTTTGGTCCCAGTGTCTAATGCATCCATGCTTATTGGTGATGTTATTGCAGTCTGTTATGCTACTACGGGCCGCTGCAGAGAAATTGTGTGCTATATGGTTTAAGGATTACAAACCATTTCACCCTATGGTAGCCATGCAGCAAACAGCGCTTTCACACTGCAGGAACTTTTTTTCAGGAACTGTTCACGCCGCAAGAACTCGGCCCAACTGTAGTTCGTCAGAATGTTCCGAACCCTTTTTAAGTACCTGCTCTAGACTAGGTACTTTTAGTTCGAACAGGAACTGCTTTGGAGACACAGCAATAATTTTGCTGATTGGTTGACCATAAGCATCGCTACTAACGTAGAAGTTACGAGGAAGTCCTGGGAAAAGAGATAAAAGTAGCAGAGGAAAAACTGAGCAGATGGATTTTTTTGTACTTCAGTTACATTCAGTGCATCAATGAATAACCTTTCGCTTGCGTCTCCATATTCTGCATCTGTCAGGGTCAGCCCCTCCTGTGGTCCTTTTTGGTTTTGTATTTTTTTCTGTTTTATTTAATAAACAATTTTTTGTTCCTGGAGCCGCTAGTGGGTCGTCCACCCTTTTTTGTGCCTGCAGCATGCCACGCCGCGTGCCCGAGCCGTCCGTATCCCTGACAGCATCTGAAAATTCGATCGATAACCAATATACTTTTGTTTAATGTCGACGGTGCTGGCGGTGAAACTTTTTATATTTATATTTTATTATTTTGAGAAATGAAAGATCTACCAGCTGGTCAGGTTTAATAATGAATTATAAACATAATAATAAAAGGTTGTGTCCCC